AATTATTGTTACGTGTGAGTGGTACTTCTGCCTATTTTCCTGCACTAGCGGTCACGCAAGTAGAGTATATATCGAGTATGGATGTGTCTCAACGCTATATTCTCTTGCAACAAGCAAGCCGGCCCATTCACCGGAGCTCTTTGCCCAGGTAAGTCGACATAATATACAACAAACAGTGTTAATAAACAAAATAAACTTACACGAACACTTAATTATAAATATAATTGTGTAGGTATGTTATCTCCAATTTTATTGGATAAAATTGCATGTTTATGTGTAGATATGTGATATTTCGATTACTTATATATAATAATAATTAATGTAACTGAGAGATTGTTCTGGAAGGAATATTGATACGAAAAGAATTGAATAACAAAGTTGTGATGTCAAATTGGGTGCGTATGTACTTAAATATGTGTATGTAAATATAGTATGTAGTATATATATAGTGTAAAAAAGAGGTTTCTTACATTAGTGTTTTGTTTTGATTGTAAATAAAGGTGTAAACCGGTCGCTGCGCAGTCGCATTCGTTTCGATCAAGGGCTCGCGTGGGGGGCACGGTTACCGGCGCTGGGGCAATGTTTTTGTACTCGTTGATTACGTATTTGTTGATTTTAATGTGGTTTGTAAACAATGGGTTATGATAAACATTTTAAGTGGCGGTAGATAAGTGTTGGAACAAATACTCCGTTAATTATGCACTGAAAGGTTAATGCTGTTCAATTTTATTTCTTTCTTGTCTTCTTCTGTCATTCTAATATCGTAAAGTAAGTGGTTGAAGTATTAATTTTATTTATTTTTTGAAACTACTCGGTGTGGTCTTCAAGTTCATTGTTTGCTTACCCTCTATTTGGAAGCGACTGTTTGTTGTTAGATCTGTTAATATCTACTCACAATAACGTCGAGAGTACCTAATACATTGTGTCGCTTTAACAAAAATCTTGAGGTATTTTTATCTAATCGTAGGTACCTATCTAGATATTGCATCAAAGTTCCAATGGACTATTTGAGAGGTGATTGATAAACTATCTGATCCTTGAAAACTAGTTACATTCTTGAGAGATTGGCATTTTTTGATTTAACTCGTTGTTGTCATATTCAGGAAATCGTGTATAACCTCGAGTTTCTAGATGAATTAATTATTATATTTTCGGTTTACTCCTATAACTGTTTAACGAGAAACTGGACTAGTTTCAAGCCATGCTAGAGGTTGTACCTACTCTATATTCCAGATATATGTCATATTCATTAGTAGTATGCCGCGACCCGCGACGCGGCGACTGTCGCGCTACTGTAGTCACTGCTACGGTCTACCGAAAATATAATAATTAATTTAGTAAATTCCTAGATGCATGTAATAGGTACTAATAAATACAGTGGATAGCTGGTCAAGGTACCTTTTCTGTAAAATTTCTTTATTAGAACTTCAACTGTATCATTAAGGTATAAAATCGAAAATCCAAAGACAAAAATTGACACGTTAGAGTAGATTGATGTGCTGGCCACTGCATACATGATAACATTATTAACATTAAACAAAAGCAGCTATGATTTTGTCCCCAAATCAGTCAGTATGCAACCATTGATGAATATAGATCTTTTTTATAGCATGTCGAGTTAAATTTTTTTCTTTAACCACGATAAAAGTAGTATAATCAAAGTTACGTATGTCAAAACAAATGCATGAGTTTACAAAATTGTATTATGTTATTGTACAGTGTCCATCAGATTAACCTACACTGTCACGTTGAATTTTCGACTTTATGTCAATACCATATAGTTGAAGATGTAATACAGTAATGATGGAAAACGATAGCTTGACCTGCGCTACCGTACTTGAGGTTGATGAGATTCTCATATATCCTTGGTTTGTGGAACACAGAGGTTGTAAAACTACTAAGTTTTAAGAGTTAGGTTACATTTCTGTGTTACATAAAATATAATAATATAACCATCACGCCTTTTATCCCCCAAGGGGTAGGCATAGCTGCAAGTTACGCCACTGCAATGTAACACCCACTTTTCACTATTTATGTTATGAGTCCCATGTAATAGGGGGTGAGCCTATTGCTATATACCGGAGACAATTCCAAACTCCGTGCTACTACAGAGAATTTGTTTTTAAAACCAGTTATACTTTGCGTGTCTTGAAAATCGAACCCGAGGCTCATTGGGGAGGGGGGGGGGAGCATTAGGGCTCTTTGGTTCTTTTCGGAATTACCTACGAGTAATAACTCAATAAGGACTTTTATATTAGGCGCAGTTTACACTGCTACTATTTATACAAACTATCCCTAAAGTCGAAGATCAAATGACACTGAGTGATCGGCAAGGTTCCAACAGTTATCAGAAAAATATAAAAAAAAACATATTTATGTTAGAATTTGATGCAATCCAATCACAATTAACTAGGACTTTCGACCGTCAATGATAATAATACCAATATAGGTTTATGTGCGTTGCTGTACACGACAAAAAAGCAAAATTCAACATTAAGGTGCAAAAACTGCTTTAAGTGCAGTGTCTTATGTCATAAATTCATTTACAACATTCACCTAGTCATTGCAATGTTTAATATTGGTAAATTAAGTAGGTACTATTGTATTTTTCTTACCTCTTTGGTCACGATTTTATGAACGTACCTACAAGTACACACGGAGACACGTCAAGCTATGAAAAACCATTTACCACTAAGGCTAGTACCCAATTAGGCGGACAGATCTCCCACCCTCTACAAAGCGCCATCTGGTGAAAAACACTTACCTACATAAAAAATAGTTTTATGTAATCACCTTGATAATATCGTACCGAAAATCCCCATACAAAAGTAGTCTCCAAACATCGGAAATAAGGTATACCTTTACCTTCACCATTATAGAATGCAGTTGAAGTCTTGGGGACTGATGAGAAACGGTTTTAATGTGTATGGTCATCTAGATTAACGACCACAATTAATAATATAATATAATCTGATTCAATTCTCAAATTCCCTAATCCCCAAAAGGCCGGCAACGCACTTGTAACGCCTCTGGTGTTCCAGGTGTCCATGGGCGACGCCGATTGCTTACCATCAGGTAATCCGTCTATTTGTTTACCAGGTTATAAAATAATAATGGAAAATCGGCAGATATGCATTGATTTTCGACATAAGTTGATCCTTCGTCCATCCACAGACTTCGGATTGAGATATAGGTCATCCATTTCAGCCGTAAGAGTATTTAATATTAGATCGATCTGTGGTCAGTAAAGGAGGCAAACAAATTACTAAAGACCAAAACAAACGGGGCTAGCTAAATAAAACCGTTAAAAGAAACAGTAGAACTTCATTACTGTCTCGTTGGCCGAGAGGTCGCAAGTGCGACTCCGGGACAATGGGTCTCGCGATTCCCGGGTCGGGAAAGTATTACTGGGTTTTCCAAAAATGTCAGTAGTAGCACGGAGTCTGGAATTGTGCCCGGTATATGGCAATAGGTTCACCCCCAATACATGGAACTAATAACATAAATAGTGAAAAATGGGTGTTACTTTACAGTACAGTGGCGTAATGCATACCTCTGCCTACCCCTTCGGGGATAAAAGGCGTAATGTTATGTAGAACCTCATTGCTGATGCCTAGCGTGTCTCCAGTCTTGATTAATTGCTGTTTTTCTTATCTATTGTTGCTTAAGTGTTATTTCTCCTAGTGTTTTGTTATATTGTCTGAATGACAATAACTTAGTACCTAACCTACCTATGCTATGTCTTACCTAGACTTTGATTAATAACTAAGTACCTACGTGATATGGCACGGTTGTTTAGAAATCAAAAACTATGTATAATTAATGTGTTTTTCTTATCGAATACCTGTAAAACAGGTAATGGTTAATAACATTTTTATGCGATAAATATGTTTTTATTGGTCTTTTATTGACCAATCAAATGTTACATAATTCTATGAAAATTACGAAGAGTTTGCACTTATTAGTAGAATTGTATTTTAAAGAACTTGATGTTGATTGTTTATTGTACCTAACCTACTTATATTTATAACCACGTTTTGCATCATAATGTCCTTATTATCTGGACAAATTGACATATTATGTAACTGATAAAATTTGAAAAGTAAGGCGGTTTTGTCGTTGCCGCTTCATACCTATACAATTGGGTAGTTTCCAGGGTAACAAAATAAAAAATCTAATTAGTCCGTCAGTTAGATAATTAAAAAATATTAGACACGTATTTTTTTATTTCTCGTATTAAGTTGCAATACTTAGATAAAATTGCGCTTTAGGAGAGGGAGGTCGTTACGTCAAAACGTGCTACAAAATTCGGCACACTGTGACGTCACACGATATTTGAAATTATTATATTGTCGAAACTATTTAATTTTGTGAGAAAAGAAAATATACGTGTCTAAAGTTTTAAATTACATAAATGTACCAGACGGACATTAAAATAAAATTATGGAAACTACCTTATTTTCATTTAGCAACAATGAAAATAGGGCATAGGGTATCTTGAATAGGGTATCTATTTGTCATTTATTTTGCGGGTCGCCTAGTAATGCGTCATGGACAGTTCGTTAAACGTTTGTTTTATTATGGTTTTGTTTATGAGTTCCTTTTTCAAAAAAATAGACTATATAGACGATTAAAAAATATCGAACCTCTTTTTTTTAATCAGTTGAAATCAATTACAATATTTTATTACAATATTTTAACACCAACCAGTATAAAAGAAGTCTTCATTTGATTTGATAAATGCATATGTTTTTATTTGAGTAAAAAACGAACGGGTTTCCTCAAAACTCCGATCAGTTAGTTCTTAAAATATTTGATCGAACTTTCAAAAAAAAAAAAAGAATAAAAGTATAATGTGAATTGTAATATTAATTTACGCATTATAATACCTTTTGAAAAAGTGGCTTCGGCCACGGTCATGAGGATAAATGTGGTCGAGTATTATAAAAACTGCTTTTTGAGGAAAAAAGTTGGTTATAAATAGCAGTTTTGTTTTTTCCAGATAACTCAAGATGTTCAAGACTTTATTGTTCGTGGCTGCGGCCGCAGTGTTGGCGTCAGCCCATGATGACGCACCAGTAAGTATTTGACTTAAAAATATTGCAATTTAGGGCTTTTCATAAATAAAGTATACTTAGATTAGGTGTTAAGAACATACAATACTGTCAAAGTAAAAAGAAACTACGAACGCACTTTGTTTTTTGAAGCAAAAGCTTTTAATTTGAGACCTTAGTACATTATACTGAGTTTGCTTGTACAATACTTATACGTTCTATAGTTCATTTAAATATTTAAAACATTTGCCCATATTAATGGTCCTCATTCTCAATTTTCCAGGAAATAAAGCAAGCTATCGCGAAGTTTGATGGCAACGGTGTGGCTGGCTTGGTGAAGTTCATCCGTTTAGATGATGGCAGGATCCACGTCACTGGCAAGGTGACTGGTATGCCTACTGGCATGTACGGTTTCCACGTCCATGAGACCGGAGACTTGTCCAACGGCTGCCTCTCCACTGGTGGACATTTCAACCCCAACGGAGTAAGTTTTGTATACATTTGCTTATTAAACTCTCAAACACCAAGCGGTCACCGGTGACCGCAACCTATTGTTCTATAATTGTGTCTACAAAACCAGTACTCGACGAGTTAAATTCTTCAGACAGCTAAGCAAACGATTTGAAACTATACGACCACTAACTTTGAATATTCTCCCTTCAGCATGACCACGGACATCCACATGATGAGATCCGTCACGTCGGAGACCTCGGAAACGTTGAGTTTGACAACACGAAGACCGCCAACATCGACTTCATAGACCCTCAGATCAAGCTGAACGGTCGCCACAACATCATCGGCAGGGCTCTGGTCCTCCACGCGGGTACTGATGACTATGGCAGGACTGATCACCCTGACTCCAAGAAGACTGGCAACGCTGGTGGACGTGTCGTCTGCGGAATTATCGGAATTTTGTAGGAAACTAATTTTATAAGTTATTTGTCTGACGATGTTTCTTGGGAAATGTGGCTGTTTTTGATCTGAATGTAGTTGAATTTGTAACCGAAATGGATTATTATTGACATTTGTATTCATTACATAACCGATATCAATTTCGGTTGTCTAATCTGCGATATCTTTAAACTGAACAACTTAAAATAAAACGGCATTCATTTTATGGACTATTATCATTTAAGACGGCATTTTTCACTTCTAACGTCTTTTCCTCGAGCGACATCTGTTGGACTATTCCTATTACGTGGACTAATTTTACCATTCCATGCTACTAACAGAGACTTGAGACTTCATTTCTTATATTCTGGGCAATCAGTCTTCACGCTAGTACCATCCAGCTCTATAACTAAACACTAACGACCAAATTCTCTATTTTGATAGTAATTTTTACCTTCCCTCTCCTATTCATGGGCAAAAGAGAGAAGTATACGCATAAGACTTGAAAGTTAGAGATAAGAATCTCAGTAGAAATTGTTATTATTTAGGACTTAAGTACAATAATGAAAACGTTTTTTTTCGTTTCCTATTTTTTTACTTTATTCTAATTATATTTCTTGCAAGGCCATGTTTCCTTCTGTACAGCGAATTTGAATAAAATTTTCTTTATAAATATTTGTTTTTATTTTTAGGGTTTTATTTGTGTTAGGTAATGTATTTTTAAGATGGCACAAACAGGCACAATAAAAAGTTGCCAATGAATTATGAATTACTTAGAACCAGTCCCAAAGGGGCTTCCCATTAATTATACTTCTGTAGGTACTTACCTACCTGAACTTATGTGTTGTGTACCTCTGTAGTGACTAACAAACACCGTAATTAATCAGCTTATAATAATAATAATAATAAATTTTTATTTGGAACAACATAGGAACCATTTTGTGTTAGTATGCGTCTTTTAAACTACAACTTAAACACTAGGGTTAGTAAGTAATAACTTAAAAGGTATATTAATTAATGAGTCATGTACTTACGAGGCACTTCCTGCGGACAATGAAGCCGCATGAGATGCCTCAGCACTGGCGCTCTCGGGTCCTCAGCCACGACTTTCATTCGTATTACAAACATGAGTATTAATTTATTTATTAAAGTAATTTTGTATCGGAAAAAATACAGAAACAGGGCAGAGTATCTCATATTATTCTTTTATGGTTGGTTTTGTAACTGGACTCTTTTTAAATTATTAGAAACATATTTTTCTAGGTCTAAAACAATTAGATAATACAAAAAAAAAAACACTAAATGCATCTACTGGGTATGTGAATATTTAAAGAGATGAAAAAGATGACGATCTATTAATATTAAGAACAAAATATAAACCCTATTCTCTTCTTTTGTTAGGGTTCCAAAATTAATAAACTGTTGTATCCTTTGATCAATAATCAATACATAGTATAAAACAAAGTCGCTTTCGCTGTATGTCCGTATGTATGCTTAGATCTTTAAAACTACGCAACGGATTTTGATGCGGTTTTTTTTAATAGATAGAGTGATTCTTAAGGAAGGTTTGTATGTATATACATATTGCACCCGTGCGAAGCCGGGGCGGGTCGCTAGTACTTAGATAAATTAGGTACTCGAAGATTGAACTGAACTCAAAATTAGTAATCGGGCAGATTAAAAAAAAATATGAATATTTATTATTCGGATATAGAACGTACATGGTATCTAGTGCAGATCAACCTGCTACAATTTGCCAATTCAATGGATTTTCGAATTTACGTCAATGCAATAAGGTTGAAGATGTAACAGAGAAATTTGACAGAAAAGGATAGGTTGACGTGCTAGTCACTGTACATGCATTACATTTACTTAAGGGACAATCGGACCATGCATTCTCAGACAAAAATGTAAATCAGATGATTTAAATTTTTTTCTACACAGATATTACGTTTACTCACATGAGACGCCTCGTTGGCCGAGTGGTCGCAAGTGCAACTGCCGGTCAAGAGGTCTCGGGTTCGATTTTCGGGTCGAAAAACGTATTACTGGGTTTTTAAAAAAATCTCAGTTATAGCACAGAGTCTGGAATTGTGCCCAGTGGGCTCACCCCCTATTATATGGGACTCATAATATAGATTGTGAAAAATGGTTGTTACATAGTGCAGTGGCATTAAGTGTCGTAATGTGCACCTTCGCCTTTCGCCTTTGGGGATAAAAGGAGTGCTTTTATATTTCACATCATAATTGTAGAAAGAGACAGACTTGAATAGGTCTACAGAACGTGTCTGTGGACAGACAGTACGGTCGTATGGTTTAATTCACACAAGTCCCGGCTGATTGGATCATTGTACTCGAGTTACTGTTCAGGATGATGCAATTTAGGTACCATTTATTGCATCTGCGAATGTCTGCGATAAGTCTGTACTGTTGTTAACATTTTATAATACATACCGACTCAAAACTAGTAGTATATTGTCGTGGATACATAAGAGTAAGATATTTTCCTCAATGATATTGATTTAAAGGTTCTCCCTCACCGGGAGCATTCACGTAATGTAACATTATAGATTCGACTTTGAGCATTACATTACAATAATACCTCCCTGACTAACGAGCATTTGCGTGTAATGTAACATATAGATACGATTTTGAGCATTTCATAGCAAGATTTTAGACGAAGCGGGTGGGCGGGGGGATGGGGGAAGTGGAGCGCATTGATGTTACAAGTTGTATCAAGATATTACACATTGTATCATTACAAGGTACGCATTGTAATGCTCAGTTCCCCTCCTTCACTGATGTAATGCTCAGATCTGTAACGCTATATTACACGCGAATGCTGAGGTGAGGGAGTACCTTAATGTTAGACATTCGATTGAAGCTGTCTATTCCAATGTTGATTATTTATAGAATTTTTGGTTTTGGTGATATTATGATGAGTAGCTGAATAGAATGTCTTTACATTGGATACTATTATTAATCAGGTAATCAACTCGCTACTACTGTACTCCTAAGATGAGTAATAGAAGAAGAAAATCCTTCGTCATTACACCAATAGAAAAGTATTTTTTTCTTTATATCTGTTTGAAAATCTGTAGCTACGACTCTACGAGTCATGAGACAACGATACCATATTTACATTACAATAATGAAGCCGATAATACCTACATATTTCACTAGTCACTTAAATAGGATTATGAAGACTTTTAATATTTACTTTGTAATACTTCTTTGGAATTATCAGGATCTATCGCCTTTTTATGCAAGTGGTGTTTACCTTTAAGTGATCGTAACGCTAAAGTGTGTATCTATTGCATGTAACCGAATATTTGATCTAGTGTGTACAGTTGTTGGTGAACCAATAAAAAAAAATAAAAATAAAATATTAAAATTTGTTAGTGGCCAAATTCTAATCATTGTAAAATGCTTATTCTTTGGTGTTACAGTTTCTTATTGTATACCACTATCATAATAATATTTAACCACTATTTCTATTAGTATTAGTAATAAATTACATTCATTCTGTATCATACCATAATTTCCTTCTTTCACTCTATTTCAACGTTTATTCCTTTATTCATTAAAATATTGCTAACTATAGAAATAAATATAAGTTGCAGTTTCCGTATCTAAAGTTTTCTTTTTTAGAAAAAGGTTTGATTGATTTGATCTGCAGATTCATGTTACCATCATTTTCAGAGAGACCCCAGAAAAGATGGCGCAATTAAACAATTCGCAGTCGAAACAATAAAACTATTTCATTGTATTATTATATTATAGAGGTATATGAACTGTATTGTGAACCTCATTGATTAAGAGTTCTCCTCCATAGGAACCTTAGAATGAGAAAAACAATTTTTTTTTGTTGATATTCAATAGTACCTTCCTCATCCTGGTCTAATTGAAATAGATGATTTTGACTTTGACTAAGGCAGCTTTGTTACCAATAGCACTATAAAAATGTGAGAAGTTTTTTTTTTATTGTCTTTATTATGATTTTCAGGTCTGAGGAACCCCAGAAGGCTAATTCAGCTGCAATGTCCACCAGCAGTTTATTGACAGCTATATCTGTTTATTCTTTGATTTCTTTTGTATTACACTGAATTAAGATTTCTTATTTTTATTATGTATTAATATCACATAGGCAGACTGCAGCTAGTCTATTTTCTAAGTTTCAACTTGAAAGATCGAAGTGAACTCGATCGCGGTCCGCCATGTCATTGGTTGTGAGAATAATCTCGACCAATGACGGGCGAGAATGCGACCGAGCTCACTTCAAAAGTACGATTTGATAGTTACAGAATAGCCTAACTGGAAAAATTCTTAGCAGTCAGCCAATATAATAAGATTAAGTACTTATATCTATACTGTTTTTTATTTATTTTTTTATTCTTTAATGTACATAATTTGTTTTCATAGTAACTAGGAAATATCGTGTACTTTAATATATTTAATATTTTATATTTGTATTTGGAATTATACATATTTATACGTATTTTTATGTATTTTAGGTTATATTTTCCAATTTTTCCAATGGGTTTTCATGTTTTGTTTCTTATTTGATGACAATCACAAGAAAAATAATATTAAATATTAGCTAGTTTAGCGCTTAGTAATATATTTTAGCATTAGTTGTATATTAAATGATATATAGATAAATATTGAAGTATCTCCCTGTGTAAGATTCAAAACTATGTATTTTATGTAAGTTTAATTTGTAATTTTTATGCAAATCATATATTTCATGTACATATATAAAAATGAATTATATAAATATTATTAATTATGTTTTCGTAACACGGTCACCGGTGACCGCAACCTATTGTTCTATAATTGTGTCTATAATGACGGTACTCGACGAGTTAACTGATAATTAATGACGATAATCCAAGTACGTATTAAGTAGTTTTATCGCTTTTTCTACTAGAAATTATTTAGTTTAACACTTTTTTATAAACTTTTGAACGCCAGAGCAAAAACACATGAATCTGCCCTCAACGCCGAGCCACAAATTCCGCGCCACAAATTAATATATAGAAATAGGGATTCCAATAGGGAATCAAATTGTTGATTTTGTATTTCCGCTTTTTTGTCAAGTATTTGTATCGTTGGCGTCCGGGGACAGTTTTCGCTCGTCACGTGACATTGGCGTTCAAAAGGTTAAATAATAATTGAAACTATGCTCAGCGTGCACTTAATAAACTACATATATACGGTACCGGTATGGTATATATGTCAGATACATTTAATCAAAGGAATAATTTGGACACGTGTGACAATTCTTTTATAAAAAATAATGACAGACATTAATTATGAAAAATCGGCGATAAGTATAATAATATACTTGATTAAAAATTTATGTACCTACATATTTGTAAGTATCTGCCCTATCATTGTTATTACACCTACTGTTATATCATTTGTTGGTTATTAATTAATATTAATATAACATCACTTTTATATCCGAAGGGGTAGGCAGAGGTGCGCATTAGGGCACTTAATGCCACATGGTTACACCCACTTTTTACTATTTATGTTATGAGTCCCATGTAATGTACGTCTATTGCCATATACCGGGCAAAATTTCAGACTCCATACAACTACTGAGAATGTTATTGATATTTTGTTTATTATTCAGCATTATTTATGATTCAGCAATTATTATGAAAA